CACCCCACCCCACATCAACCACGAAGCATCAACTTCGTGACGCAAGTGCTGGCGAATGTTAATATGCCCCACCCCACCCCACATCAACCACGAAGCATCAACTTCGTGACGCAAGTGCTGGCGAACGTTAATATGCACCACCCCACCCCACCCCAACCCGACCCCACCAAAAATCGCGATTTCCTCTGGGGTCGATAACAGCGGCGACAGCAGAAAGTAACATAAACAAATCCCGTAAAACCCCTTGCTCCGTGGCCAACCGGGCTTCCCGAGCCAGCTGTTCTTGCCCTGCCACATGCACCTGTTAGCGACGTGGTCAACGGGTTCAACGAGAGGTTGTGCGCTGGGTGCTGAAACGCTGACCGGTGTTGTGCACGTGGTGTCCGCAACGTGGAAGGCCCACATGGGTAGAGGGCGTTGAGTCTTCTACAGATTCATCTAACTGCTGCTCGTCCTGCACCGCTCAAGCACCCATACAGGGATGATCGTGGTCAAACATCAAAACTGCGACAACCCTCTAAGAGCTCCTTCACTTTCCCTGACCACTGATAATTACTGTCTTCCACCAGTTCAGTTTTGAGGCTAACCATCCCCAAAAAGGTTTGGCATATGAACTGCTGAGTGTGGGAGCATAGGTCTTACCCAGCCTTATTATCCACCAAATTGGGAAACAAAACAAAATAAACAAGCTATTTACTGTACAAAAAATATCAATAAATAATAAACCAAAAAGCACGTGCGATGAAAGAACGCAGCGCGCCTGAACCTCACCTGTCTCATCGAGTTCGTCCAAGGACAAAGGGCCCTCCAGCCGCCGTAAGACCTGAAAACGGTCGACAGGATGTGACAGGTCCAAGTGTCCAATTCCGCTCCATGACACTCTTTCCATGGTTTGTTTTGGTTCCCAGTTCCACTTCCAAGTCGAATTCCAGTTCCGGAAAAGCTCCCAAACTCTTCGCCGTGGCGCCGCATGGATCTGATCAATGGGCGACCCGAAGTTGTACGGCAGCCTGGGACACTTCTGGTGGCACCCAAGAGACGTACGCCACCCGATGGAGCGGGACCAACCCACTCCACCGATTCCGGTCACCGCCAGATGGATCCAAGTATATTTTGTCAAGTATTGTCATGGAACCGGGTGTGAGTTGGTTGGAGACTCGACTACGGAACGTTGAACGATTAGAATTGAAAGCAAAATCGCAGGCCCCTTCGAAAGCTTGGCCAGCAGTTTTACATTACACACTGGGATGGTCCGCTGTTCATTTGGCAGCCCGAGTGGAGAAGAAAACCCTGCAGCCACAGGGACTACCACAGGGTTCTTTCGCTCCACACCGCGCCTCCGCACCACACCAATTCAACCCCCCAACCGTACCATCTAGGGCGATCAAAGGGTCAACTTCAACGTCGTCCAAGAGAGATAGAGCATGATAGAGCCATTTCTGCAAAAATACTCCAACTCCAAGACCTCCTTTTTCTTGCAATGAGTCAGCTTCACATTTTGAGGTTAAACATGCCTTTCTCCAGGTCAAACCCAACCCCAATTCAATCTCCTACCCTGCGCATAGACTCGACATAGAGAGATCCCACGGTTGAAATACTTCGACTTGTCGAGACCTCCACTCCCACCCACGCATTTCGAACGCCACAGGCGTGGTGCCTGAAAGAAGCGCTACAGGAAAAGATCTCAAGGTCATGGAGCTGCACGGGCCCAGCACAGATGCAAATGTGCTTCCAACCAGTCAGCGTGATAGGGCAAAGAGGGTGGCCTTGACGGGGGATCTAATCTACTCCAGGTGCTTTAGCCTTTGCAACAACTTGTGACCGTGGTTGGTCTTGCCTGTCGATACTTATTGTCCGAGATGTGTCTCGAAGTGGAGTGATGGGAATTTTGAATTTTGTTCTCCTTCCTTATAGAATCAAACAACTCCTGGTCTATGGAGGTGTTAGCTTCAAAAGGCTCCTTCAAAGAAACACAAAGTTTTTCCGGATTCTTTCTCCCATGTCCGCCTCCATCGTTTCCGCCTCTTTGGGCCCTTCGCTCTCCGTGCGCAAGGGGCCCAGGACCTCCCGGAGCAGTCTGAACGGGTTGGATGAAGAAGTCATGAAGAAGTTCACCCGATTTCGGGGGCCACTCATCTGCCACCCAACTAACGACCTAAGCACCCCGTCCACCGTCCCAAGTTGCACACCCCCAGTTTGTACAGCTCACGTTCCTTCCCGGCGTGTACATGGAGGTCACTGCCCTGTATGGTAAGCAAACGCGAACCCAAACAAGAAGCGTTTTGAAAATGTGCTTGCACTGCTTTGTCGCTCCCCCTTTCCTCTCCCAATGCAAATGTCACCTGGGAGAACTCGCCCTTGCCACTGGTGCCCACTGCTCGCGCCATAAAGAAGTAGTCTTGACCTGCCACAGGAAACATGGTAGACCCCACAAAGGCCTACAACATCCTACAACAGTATACTGTATATACTGCATATATATATATAATAGACGTATATATAAACATATTCCACCACTCAGTAGTCCTATAGGTCGAACGGAAGGGGTTGGAACGATGGAGTGATATGGAGTGCAGAACATAACTCGTGCCAGGCCAGAGAGGAACATAGGATCGACAACCGTACATTTTCTGTGCTGTGTTGCTCTGCACTCGGCAAGCCGATGGAGCAATACATTCAGCAGACTGAACCCGATCTCTTGCTTCCATTTGCCTTCTGGTACAAGTTTATGAATGGCGGAGATGAGTGGCAATTATGCCATCATTCCATACACTTCCCCCAAGCGCAACAGCAAGCGGCATGCCGGACAATACTGCAGGCAAAGTGTTTGTCAACCATACTACACAAAAGGGCACAGCCATTGAGCCAAGAAAACGCACCTGCTAAACCATGATGATGTCCCTTCCAGCAACTCCAGCCTTTTTCGTGGAGTCTTCCTGAAGAAATCCACCCAAACTCAGTGTTTTTAAGGACCTTAGCGGGATTAGGGGCTTGATGAAGCTCCCATGCCCTTGCATTGTGACGGCACCTGGAAGCAGCGATGTGATGGTGAAGCTCTGCTTAGGAGGCACCACTGGCGCATACATGCACTCCTGCACTTCTTTCGGCTTTCGATTCGGTGCCTCGTCAGCACCGGGAGATTGGGTCAAACTACACTAGCATGGCGAATAAAGTTGGCGTGGCAAATGCACCAATAGCATCATTCATAAACTTCCCACACAACCACATCATATCATATCACCCTGTTCCAGAAACATCTGTTCCCTTTAAGGCAGCCCTTGGACCCACATGGATCGATCCGATCTCCTGTTCCGCTTCTCTCCGTCAGACCCGGTGCTCCTCACAGTAGAGCTCCCCGAAGGAACCGCAGCCGGCTCCGACATCGGGCCTGACGCGACGCGTCCTTCCGGCACGACGGGCCGTCTATGTTCGGCGAAAGGGGGTCGTTCTCAACGGCGAAAGTGCCGGACTTCTGTTTTCTCCACGAAAAGCTCCGAGCTCCTTTTACTTGCAAAAGTTGGGTGCACGTGCGTGGAACAAGCGTTTTTGGCGGCAACAAGCAGCGTTCAAGTCTCATCAAGGCCCCGACTCGGCGTCCTCCTTGATAGCATAACCTTGGAGGACACTTCAGCGCTCGAATTCATCGCATGGAGGCCAATGTACATGTTGCCACCGTCCATGGGTGGAAGTGCCACTACTTCGACCCTCTGAAGACTCACATGACCACGTGCATCGTGTCACCACGATGGCACCAAACAAATCTCTGAGAGGATCTTGGATCAGTCTATATCTCATTTCGGATCACAGTACTTTGCAACCGGACCCGCATATATAGAGATGAGCAAACCAGGAGCCTATTTACAGCATCTGATTCATTAGCCTTTGAATTGATATATATATATATATAGATGTTGAACAATGACACGGGGTCTTTGATACTTCAACTGTGATCCCGTCACAAATTAACTTTATGCGATCCAGGTGTTTAACCCCGCACTCACCGTCTCCACATAGCACCCAGCGAAGCATGCATATATCGAGAATCGACACTCCTATTTCTTTGGAGGGATGTCATGCTAGATTGTATGCTGTCTGTGTGGTTCATTGGGCTTCCATCTGCTATACCTTCACCGCAACATGCCACGGATAGACTAGGCAGCATATGAGCCATTGTCAGGACCATAGTTTGTCAGCAGCGACCGTGAAAGCGCACTCTTTTCTCACTGGGCACAGCCGACTGGGACTTCTGGAGGAACTATCAGGAGACATGCCGCGTGCCGATGGCTATTAGTGGTGAATAGGATTTGCTCAGGAGCCATGGATCCAGCTCCTTAGGTCCTTCCCTTGCGCAACAAAACAGACTCCAAGCAAATATCAAGTCGCTTCCCCCGTCCTTTGTTCCAACAAATAGTTCTCTATGTTGTCTCATATGCTCTGTTGCTTCATCGAGGCGGAGTAACATGAAAACGCTGAAGGATTCGGAGGGCGGCATTTCCCTTGATGGTTGTTTGGGACCATTTCCTCACAGCTGGCTTCGATCAGCGGCTCAGACTGGGATGCCGGACGCCTGAAAGAGTGGATCTTCCCCAGCACACTACGATAGAACATCATATATACTACAGTTACTACAGTTTCCAAAAGGTCGTTGTTTGTGGATGCCTAACCAGGGGCAGCCAAGTGCTAAGCTATCATTCAAAATCGAATCTTCTGCCAGGTTTTGTTGCCCCTGCTCATGTGACCCCTGGCAGTGGTTGTTCAAAAAACAACTCCCAGCTGATCATTCTACAATGACTCAGCTACAAACCACCAATCCAAAAAGGATGGAACGAAACTGGGGGGTGCACTAAAATTCCCCGCCAGACTCCAATCCACCAAAACATTTCTACACAATCCTCCGCTCATGATGACCATGAGCCTCCGAAATAAACAACATTAGCATGCATTAGCAACTAGACTAGAATCAACTTGAAACATGTTTTGGCGTGCTTCCGTTCCGATACACTTGAATTAGCAAACTAAACAATACAAATATCTGATATCTTCTGATACATTCAGGAACTCAAGCCACTCCTCTCTTTGAAGCACTTACGAGTGGGCAACTGGCTTACAACATAACAAAACATTGAACACAGGTGCACCATGGTACACCGTTTTTTCTGATTCTTGCAGGGGCAATCCCAACTTAATACGGACTAATGCGGGTAGGTCCTTCTATGACTTGAGCAGTGAGCAACTTGCAGGTCCTCCATTTCCCACCCATGCCATACATTCCGGAGTAGCTGACCAACCGGACTCTGGACTCGGCCGGCGGCGGCAATTCAAGTTGTCCCGAGTCCTTCTCGTGGAAGGAGAGCAACCGCTTGAAGCTCTGTAAGGCCTTTTGCGTCGCCGCGTTGTCCAACAAGGAGCCCTCAGGGTGTCAGCAGGCGCGTGCAACTGGCAAGTCTGGCGAGTCTTGCTACGGTGATGTCCAAGGCCCACGCAAATATCAGCAAGGCAGCAAAATCAGCAAAATGAATGGGATCCCAAACAAAGTGTTCATTGGGCTGTACCGTGTTGTGCCTTGTGCCTATATCTATACAGCTGAACGGGTGAAGCTTCCAGATGTTGATAAGTACTGTAGAAGAGAGGCAACCACTCCTCACTACCAAACGGATTTTGTAACTAGAAAGGATTGGATCAAACAAACATTCCAGTCACGGACTGATGACACACGTTACCAACTGCATTTCATTAGCAACTTTTTCTGGTGTGCTCTGACCAATCCCAAGCTTAGTGAAGCCCTTGAAAAGCCAACATTCGCTCATGCTCAACCCAAGGCAATTGATGCCTGGTCCTCTATCTTTCGCCACTTCTGCCCCCACATTCGTTCATTGCCCTTCGGTTCATCGCTGGAGATATACAATAGGCCTGGCCAAGTCGCTGTCGCGACATACTTTGCACCAAAAGCTTTTATCGTGGCGCGGTTGCCCAAACTTCGTAAACCCTAGGCTAGGCCTCAATGTCGTCTGTACTGTAAATACAATGACCGTAACTATATATGCATGTTTATATTACTATATAATATATGTAGAAAGTGTCAAACATATATCTATCAAATCACGTGCACCTGTCTCACACACATTTATAACATACATTAATAGACGGTGTATGTATATGTGTATATATATATATTAGTTGAACTAAAACCACAAACAAATCCGACCACCGAAGTGAGAGTCTAAGGGCAAATGCAAAGCATGTACCCAGCACCCAGAACCGCATGTACGAGAACTCATTTGCAGGATTGCCCACTGACCAAGCCCTCAGAATCCAGACTCTAGACCAACCGCAACCGCACTGGGCGGATCCCTTCCTCCAGTGACCCAGGTCTTGCTTCCATGGATGAGGTCGATGTAGCTCTTTTGGGCCAACAAATGTTTCCTCGGCAAGAAACGCAATGCCAAGTCATCACTCCCTGAGCTATTTCATCCTGTGGAAGACTTGGAAGGAAATTGGTGCATCGTACACTGCCAAGAACAAAATTCATCCCAAAATTCCAAGGTTCCACAACAGTTCCCCAGTCTTGCATGATGCAGTCTCGTCGCCCCTCCAGGCTTTGTAAGCAGCACTGCTTCATGTGCTCCTCGCGGTTCGCTGAAATTTGGCGGCACTGGCCCCGCTTGGGAACTACCAGGAAGCGTGCAGGTCATATCAGGAACTCTTCATGCTATTGACCCAGACTGTCCATGGCTGTCCTCCTCCTTCTCATCCAAGGCTTTGGCCAACAACAAATCTAACAAGGGCTCCAGCGAAGACATATCCGGAGCTTCGCCCAAGGCACCATCACCTTTGGCCAAGTGTAGGGAATCCCCAAAAAAGACGCGTCAGTGACTGCTAAAGCACCAGGCTGAAGGATGCATCAGTGAAACACTGCAGCTGGTCCAAAATCGCAAAATGGTCCGCCTTTATCTGGAGACCCTTACAAGGACATGGTACAAGGAAAAAACTTCTAAACTTTATGTTAAATCAGTTACCAGTACAGTAAATCCCATTGGGCCAAATGGTTTTGGCGGGTGTCCTCTATTATTAAACGAAGACAGCCACCTAATACCACCTGCGCGGGGAGAAATCAAAACAACTACCCAGCCGGCCTCCTTTGCGTCGTTTTACTCTCTTGCAATTGATTGGCAGAAAACACAGTCACACACACAAGAGGTGCCGAATGAAAGGGTCCGGTATGATTGAGGAATTCGACCGTGTATACTCTTCCTCTCCTCCTGGCATCAAAGCCACCTTGCTGCTTCCACTGTCGCAATGTTGCCACGGCGAAGCGCCGCGCGAGCTCTGCGGTGGTCTGCAGCTCCTGGCAGCGCAGTGGCTGCGAAGGGTTGGTCTCAGGACGCATAGCCTCCAGCATAGCCTGTTTAACTACAGCATAATTGCGGCATAGCCTGTTATATATTGTATTATAGCAGAATTCCATAGCTTAGTTTGGAAAATCGCAAAGATCCAAAATGTGGATGTTTGGAGATCTGCTCTCACACAGACTGGCAGGCTGCCGGAGATAGTTTGTTGCGTTTAGAAGTGGCGCGACGCACATGCTACTATCTAGGAATAAAAGCCCTTCCCCCTCCTGTTCTGCGCTTTTCTCGGTGTGCTCTGCTTGAGTCTGAGTGCCACGGCCAAGAAGCTATGCTATTCGCCATGGCTTCAAGCTTCAAAATAAGGAAAAGTGGCTAAAAAGACCTGCAGGTCATGTCGGTCTTCAATGGCCCGCTTTGCTGCCAACCAGACCTGACCCGATTTCTCTCGAAGCACTCAGTAGTAAGTGCCGTCATCCTTGCCCTGAGCATCCAACAAGCCCTTCCAATAGTTCGCCTCATATGCCTTCTTGGCATTGGTGTCCACCAGCACTTCAACCTCACCGGAGCCCAAAAAGCCACCCTGTCGGCACTCGAAGATCAACAGGTTCTTCTTGTCGACAATCAAACCCGTCAAAGGACCAATGATGGGCGGGGAGACGCACCAGTCAATGAGCTCACCAGTGGTCACCTTGAAGGAAGAGCCGTGTAAAGGGCACACGATCACATCGCCAATGACATCCGCACCCTCGCTCATGGGGGTGCCAATGTGAGGGCACAAGTTGCCAACACAAAAGAGAGCACCAGCCTCAGTTTTCCCAATCAGGACGTCATTGCCTGCCAAGGTCAAGGCCTTGAGTTCCGTGGGTTGCAATTCCGAAGCCTTCACTCCGGTCTTAATCCAGGCCAAAGAAGGCAGGATGGTCTGGGTGGTGTAGCGAGCAGCAGTTTTGGAGCGCTTGGAACGCTTGGCCAAGCCCACTGCAGCAGCTGCAGTGCACACACCGGCAGCCATCTTCAAGCCAAAGTTGCTGCTGGGCTGAGGTGTTGGGCTTGCAGTGCCCAAGTGCTGCTGGAGGACAGCAGGCTGATTGACGGTGGGCGCAAGGAAAGCCAGCTCCATGGCAACAGCTGAGAATCGCAAGGTGCGGGTCAGCAAGCGATCTTGATCTGCGGGCCTCGTTTTTTTCGCGAACCATTCCTTGTTAGACTATGTGCATGACCTAAAGACCTGGATATGAACGGCAGGAATCATCCTGGTGCATCTTCAAGTCACCTGTTTTCTATCCAGCGTTCCACTACTCAGTTCGACTACATCACCCTGAAGAATCTGAACACCTCCTGTTGGCATCGAACATCTCCGAACGCTTGCTCCTTGGCCACGGCCAGCAGCTCGGAGGGTGTCTCCTTCACATCCTGGGCGGATGAATGCTAGGCCAGGGGGGGCTGGGGCCTTTTGATCGGTCAAGACATCCTAAGGTCCTAAAATGGCGATGGAAAAATGGGCACTGAAAACCATCCAAACACGTGTCCCGACAGCCGAAGCTCCTGAGCCTTTGCTACCGGTGGTGCAGCTGAGGCCGCCTTCGGTTTGGGCCTTGGATCATTCAGCTGTGAGGAGAACCAGGAACATCATGGACATGAGCATGCTTGTCCCGTTTTAGCCACAGATTGAAATCTTGGGTTCCCCTACACAATTGAGGAGGAATGGTTGATCACGCATTTTTATTGGCACTGGGGGTCTAAGTCGGAGAGCCTGAAGATCTGTCCACTTTGAGAATGATGGTGCAAATCTGTTTTTTTGGGCCTTTGACCTCACGTTTTTTATCACGTCCTCCTCCTTTGGGGTTGCTAAGGTCACTTATTAAACACATGTCAAAATGAACCAAGCTCAAAATCTGGTGGATACATCTTGCAGCCCCAGGTGCTCGGAGGACTCTGATTCGGAATCGCTCGCAGCACGTTTTTTTCCGGCGCCCTTCTTGAAGGAGTCGAAGGAGAAAAAGGCCATGGGAGCTGTGATTCTCTTGTGTACGGTGTTGCATGCAGGATCAACCTTTTGTGACAATACTGTCGGACAAAACAAAACATTACAGTATCTTTCCTGCGCGGGTCTCAATCTCAAAGCAACCTTTCCACACCAACGCTTGGCCTTATCCACACGCCAACTGAAGAGTTTTGCGAGCGTTCTTGGTTGTGAGGCAAAACAGTGTTCCTCCAGCTTTCCCAGAGCGAAGAAGGCCTCTGGAGCAGTTGGCACCCTCAAACCCTATGTGAGGTGTTTCTCACTGGATTATTGGAGACAAGCTCAATGTACTTTGGATAATATACTTTTGTATTAAACATATGTTGTACGGATGATCGTCCATGTATGATGATGATGTACTCCATATGTATGATCATCCAATATATATATATATAGTGTTATAGTATTTTGTTACAGGTTTCTACCGATGATCACAGGTGCCGACTTGGGGTGCACACGGGTGAACACCGGTCGGCTCCGTTTTCACATTCGCATCAGAGAAAGGACGGCCCCAACAATGTAACAAGGACCCTCAAGTCTGATATTTACCTTCCTTCAACAAATGTCTGGAATCTGGCAGGTCTTGGTTTGCACAGTAAATCTGGGAGAATCCAAGCCAGTCAAACACTAATTATATACCTAATTGTCTTTTGACGCCTTTCGTCCATTACACAACGCAATTTGCAGGCTCTTGAGATCAGCCCACAGCTGCAGCATGCATGGTCTCCAAATCAGCGGGGCCGCACATTTGTGTGACCTCTTCCCGGACTCATGGATGTGGTCATGCATCAATCGAATGACACCATACACGGAAGTAAGCCTTAGATGCGTATAATTACATGGCATGTAGGTGTTTTGTAATGTTTTGTACATCTCCCTCCTCAATTCGCAGCATGTTAGCTACTTAACCTGTGGTTGTTGATGCTTACTGTATGTCTTCTGTCGTCGCATTCGCTCAGCAAAAAGGCCCAAGAATTAAAGGCCCAAGAATTTCCAAAGTGACCAGACCGCCAAAGAGTCCTGGAACGAACCAACCGTTGGTCATATCCTAAGACCAAACCAAACAGGTCAGAAGCGCAAACGCAACTGGTCATATCCCAAGTCCAAACGATGCTTAACTTTTGAAAACCCCTCGGTGATTCGGACTCGCTCCCCAAACTCGGACAGCTCAGGTCCGGTCTCTGGTCCGACTCCAGCCGCTCGGACGAACAGTAGCCCAGAAACCAAAGAGTTTATCCACGTCATCGGTGTGGTCCATGAGCCGCGAGGCAAACTGCAGCCGTTTTGCGTGCAGAAGGCTGGTCACTAAGAAAAACGCAGTGGTGGATCAGTACATTAAACGGGTCTCTGAATGAACACTTGTAGCTTTTGGGGTTCTAAACTGATGGTCAACTGAGCAATAATTATTGTTTTTGGACCTGGAGGTGGTACTGTCATGTACTGTCTATTTTGAGCAGTTGGTGGTCTGATCTGTGGTCTCGATGCATTCCACTTTCCAGCGGTTCGCGCATTGACGATCAGCAAGTAATACAACCTCACTCCTGCCATGTCAGGCTTGGATCTCACCACTGTGCCAATTGTGATGGCTTTTGACCTGTGATGAAGCACATCTGTCTGTCCGGGATATCTACTGCACGCAGGGCTTCCATACCAGTTAGCCTAGGGTTACCCGCTTAGCTGAAAAGCTGCATAAAGCATCCTGGTCCTAAAACATCCTTCAGATCCAACGTTACACCTTTACAATCCGTTACAATCCGTTACAGTATGCCTGCTTGAGACAACACCTTGCACCCACCACTCGCTGCCGCGCGTTGTTTCAGCCGCTGCCTGGCACCACCGCACCACCGACTCATTAGGACCAGCAATCAAATCCTGGCGACAAATCCGGGTGACTGGCGTTGTGACTGGTGGTGACTGTTTCACCTGGTCAAAAGCAAAATCAAGCATTTGGACATGCACACAAATACACCTTCACAATGTTCATTAAAACAACGTTTTGAGTCTTACCCACAAAGGCCAATAAAGAAAGCACTCTTAGACAGCCCCTTGGTACCGCAGCTTGTTGAACCCCAATCCTCCTTTCGCTCCTGTTGCTTCCCCTTGGCTCTGGGCGCCCGGGCCACCCGCAGCAGCTCCACTCCGTTGGTCTCGGGCGCCGTCCAAGCGACCGAGATGTCTCGGGACGTCACGCTGGACCTGAGCCGGCCCAAATAAACGCGCGGGCCAGGCAGCCTGAGGCGAATTATTGGCGCAGGTTGAAGGAGGGCTGCTGGCCCAACCGAGTCTTAGAGGATTGGAGGTTTTGTCTGGAAGTAGCGTCAGCTGACCGAAAAACACATGGTCAGCATGGGAATGACGATCATACTGAATCGTTCCATCATCATCATCATCATCGTCATCGTCATCGTCATCATCATCGTCATCATCATCATCATCATCATCGTCATCGTCCTCCTCCTCCTCATCATCATCATCATCATCATCATCATCATCATCATCATCATCTCTCTGTCTATGTATGTACATGTATATATATATGTGTATGTGTGTATGTGTATGTATGCATGTATGCATGTATGCATGTATGCATGTACGTACGTACGTACGTATGTACGTATGTGTGTGCGTGTGCACCTCCAACACCCATTGGATCACTCTAGAATCTTGGTTTGGTGAAATCCAGGAGCATGTATGGGTCCCAAGGCGCTGCTTCCATGTTTCTGAATGAAGTGAAATCATGTGTTTACATATGCGTCAAGGCTCATGAAACCACCAACATTAAGGATAACAAAAACACACTCAAGGATCGCTCATTTTTTATACATATTGTTCAGTGTCATCGGCCTGCAACTCTCTGGGTGTCACCCATTTCGACACCATCCGTTTTGGAGTTCTCGGTGCCCCGGACATCCAAAGCTCCTCGAGCTTGGCGGGTTTGGAGTTCTTGGTGCTGAAACGGGCCACCTCTCAGGTGCGGTTCCCGTCGCACCAACCCCTGAAACGGCTCCATGTGAGAACTTGATCATCTATCTCATCAGAATCAAGAGTTCTTAGCGGGCTTATATAATAAATCTTAAATATTCTTAAACTATCTACCAAAATCTCGTCAAATCCCGATGAAGTGAGGTCTTGGTTCATTCACAGTCAGCGCTGCAACCCCCGCAACAAAAACAACAATGACATAAACATACATAAAATCAGCAACTCCCCAAACCACCGCTGCCCGGTTTCACCGGCCGCCTCAGACCAGCCACTCCATCCCACACCTCACACATGTCGGGACGGATGAGTGGTCAAACATGGGCATGGCCAGGATTTCGGGGTGGAATTCTGGTCACAGATGCTGGACATCTGATTTCCAGGAGCTGAAGGGGGAGACTCATCTTGTGGCACATGAGACTCCTGAGGCCTAGAGGCCAGTGTCTCCATCGCCGGACTTCAGTCTCCCTGAAAATAAGAGCATGAGATCGGTCGAACACTGGTAAGAAGCAGCCAGCGCACATCCCCCAAAGTCGTCCAATCCCTCGTTTAAAGTTTCCAATACCTAATTAAAAACAGGAGCACGGGAGCACTCAGCCTGCTGAGCTTGTCAGTCATCCTTTGACCAAGGTTTGGGGATCGACAGATTTGGTTGATTGAACGTGACAAGTTACATTGGTGAACCGGGAAGGTCGCGAAGAAAACACATGCACACCTGGATCAGCCACATGCGACATCGTCTTCCCTCCATACGTGACATCATCTGACCTTGCACACTGCATAAGAAGCGCAGGTTGAACTTCATGAGTTGGACTCATTCAAAGACAGCCACATCTTCAATCCTAACCACTTCCCACAACCCTGCGACATGCTATATAATCAGCCAACATATAAGCTGCTTGTGGGCCCAACTCAGGATGTGGTTTGAAACTGTATTCTTACAATTCCAAGGGGTGACGTGGAATGAATATATGTATATATATGTGTGTGTGTATGTAAATATATATATATATATATTATATGCGTATATATATAATTATACATTTACACATACACACATACGCCATATATGGCTTTTTGTGGTGTTGAATGGTTTGATGTGCTTTGATGGATGGCATGAAGGTAATCTTGTTGTCAAGGGCCGGGGGCACGACGGCAGTTTTTCTCAGGGCCACTCCTTTCCGCAGAACGAGAAACGAGTGTCCGAGCTACCTCCAACAAGCTGTCCGAGTCACAATTGCAAGCTCTGATCGTGAAGTAGTACATGGTTCCATCTGGCCGACGCTGCTCAGTGTCGGTAGGCAGAGTGCATCAAGGACCATGATCAACCACAATAGGAAGTGACACCAGTGTATTATATATCATTGTAAATCTATGTAAATCATATATATATATATACACCTTTTGCCTTTCGCGGTTTGTGTCGATTTGTAATGCGTGTCGTGAGCGGTGCAGCACAAGTCCAACATTCTCATGCAAACGGAGTGTCAAGGACGCACATGGTTATACTGCCCCTGCATGACACTGCCATTTGCCTCCTTTCAAGGCGCAAGCGTACACCCCAATGCACATCAGGTGCCGTTGCATCACTGAATACGCGGGCAGTCTTGCACAAAGGATCACCAAAGGCACATTATGTCTTCAAACAAACACATGTTTTGGCAAAGCATGGATGCGATTCGCTGCTTCACTTTGCCCTCAAACAATAACTGAACACATGGACACATGATTCGCTTGGGCAGCACTGCATTGGAGGCATGAATCGCTTCATTGCTCCAAGTAGAACCATAGTTACCACAATTTGGCAACAATTGACATGCGATGACACACACCTCTTCTGAAAAAAGAAGTGCATATATAATCAGAACATGATAGAACATGAAACCCGCATGCATGGGCAAGACACATACATGCATAAATGTTGCAACTGCACAGAGCTTTATTGGGGAGGATGGTGCACCTTTTCGCCTAGTACCCATGTACCACCTGCCCCACATAGGAAAGCCAATCTACAAACCCTGGATTCTATGATGTCACCAACAAGTGATGCAAGAACA